TTAGAGCCTAGGCACAAGACTCAGGGGTGTTGTTCTATAATCAAAAGTTAATAAAAACTGTTTAAAACCTCCTATGTTTCTGTTGTTTCATTGAACCAAGTTTTCCACTTCCAAGAACAAAAGGGGTGTTTGAAATAAGAATCCAGAATTTTATGTTTTGCTTTGCTTTAATCAATAACTTTTGCAGGGGGGAACAGTGGTATTGCACAATAATGATTACACTTGATTACATAGAGATTACATGATGAATAATTTTCACTCCTTAGTCCCTTTTTTAGTTGTTGACCTTTCCTGGGCAAGGTAGATCTCAGTCCCTGTGGATGGGCTTGAAACAGGCTCTTGGGACTCCTCTCTGCTCGGCCTCGGACTTCCTTCAGTCCGGCCGGCCACGCCCGGTCTCCCTCAGGAACACAAGTACCCACACAGTTTACCTACTCTCACTACCTGCCCCAACAGATTATTCCTCACCACAAAGAAGACCCTTCTACAACTCTGAGCAACCAGGTTTATAATATAATTGATTTTTCTGCTTGTCAATTCATACACCACTGCTATAATTTGGGATAAGGCTTCATTAAGGACTAATTTCGAGGAACGTGCTCTTACCATGTTTTCTAAATTCAGTAAGAGGCAAATTTCCCCATCTCACTCTCGGATGTGGGCCGTTCCTGGTCCTCGATCTGGTTGAATTTGAAGAAAAAAGGGTTTAGGGATAATTTGGGCTGATGGGTTGAAGAATAGTTCCAAAAAAGAAACTTATTCCAACAGATTTCACCCTAGTTCTCCTCCAGCAGAGACCATCCAAAATTGCTCTATTAATCCACAATTCGTCCAGAGGTTCTTCGGGTCTTGTCCTGAGCTCCCTCGCTTGTGAAGTGGATCCCCAAAACAGCAGAGTTTTCACTGAAACTTTTGTTTATATAGCCTGAAATTTTGACTGACATCTCCAGACCAGTCACCCCATCAGGCTAGTCCATCCCTTTTGGGCTAGACCTTGGTCCGACTCTACAGGCTTCTTATGAGATTTTGCCAGTCACTCCTAATGCATATTAAAATCTGGGTGTATTTTGTTCAATAATGCACAGTCATTCTGCGTTGTCCTATTCTGATTTGCTCAGAGCTGTGATCTGGGACTTTCCCCTTGTGTAACACCCTTACTTGTAACTTCTAGAACATTCATGAAGCTACCGGTTCTTTGCTTTCAACAACATGACTAAGCTTAAAAACAGATTACATTGTAAAATCATAAAGATTACATTTTAAAATCACAAAGTTTATAATATCACTTGATCATCTACTTGTTTATTGATTTATTATAAACACATCTTTCTCATTCATCTGAAACTGGTAATTTTTATTAAAAAGAAAAACATTTTCTGCTTCTGCTGTTCTCTCCCTGCGTGTGTGTGCCTCTCAAACGGGCCTGTGTGTGCGTCTTAGTGAGCCTGTGTAGTTGTGTGTCATATACATTCGTGCTTATGGGGTGTGTGAGTGTTTGTTGCATGGTTTTGATTATTCAAGGCTTCGAGGTCTACAAACAGGGCATGAAACTAGCAGAATAACACAGAACAACATGTCTTGACTTGCCCGTTCCCTATAAGATCAGGCTGAACTCCGTACATCTTTGACACACCATAACTGCGTAAATAATTGACAATCTCAT